CTCTCTTGCTTAAATTGCTGTTATTCAGCTTTTAGCTGGTAGGACCTATTGAAATGGTTCTTCAAATTTGTTACCTTTCCATCCCATTTTCATCCTTTATGGTTTTAGTTTCATTTCTAGTAGATTATTCTTAATTTCATCTTTTAAACTTTTCATTTAATTTTTTTTTATTTTTCTAGTCATAATTTTAATTTCCAAAGCTGTTTTTGTTGTTGTTATTCTCTGGATGTTTCTTTTACTTATTTATTTTTAAAAAAATCCTCCTGTGTCTTTTGTGGATATAATTTCTCATCCTCACAGAATATTTATGATTCTATGAAGCTTTCTCTTACTCCCCTTTTCTCTGCTTCATTTGGTTTCCTTTTTATTCTGTTTGTTTTGGTTTCCATCTTTTATATTATAGGCTTTTCTTATTATCTGATGATTTAAAAAATTAAGATTGAGGCACCAAAATGTATATTAGGAAGGTTTTTATTTTATGATGATCAGATGTTATTCTGGCCATTTTTGTGGGAGCATCACAAAAATTTTAGATTGAAAATTTCTCCAAAGAGGAACCTTTTAGTCTTCTGCCCAGGGTTTTTAAACCTGGCTGTGAGGATTTTGTTAGCTGAGCAGGAGGAGGAGTCTGGGATGAGTGTGTCTGTGTGTTTCTTGTAATTTAGTTTGTAAACTCTTCATTCATCTTTCTCTTTTCAGAAGGATGCATCTGACATTCCCCACAATCTCCCACCTGTTCCCCGCCACACTTGGTGTTCAGAAGCACAGAATTTCTCTGAAGTAGTTTCCCTAAAAATAAAATCATTCTTTGGCAAGAATGGTGTATGAATGGTGGCATGACTTGAATGAGGTTGGAGAGGGATCTGGAGTTCTAATTGCTCCCTGTAGAAACTACAGCGTATTCTGGTTTTCAGTGCCACTGTGCATTCCTGCCTTCAGCTTCCAAACTTTGTATGTTCTGTTGCACTAAACTCTTTGATTTTTTTTTGACATCCTCAGGATAGCTTAGGACTAGACTTTGTCTCCTTTCTAGCTTCCAAAGTAGTACTAACATTCTTGTCAGCTGTCATCTCCTTTCCTTTTTCTTTTGTCCATTTCGTTTTGCTTTAGCATTTTTACCAAAGTAAAAGACTGGCATTTTTACCACTTTAGTTTTCAAGATAGTCCACTGATAAACGTCATATTAAAG